GTGCTGGTGCGACGACCGAGAGTTCTACCGCCAGAACTTTCACGCCATCTTGACCAAAACGCTGACACGCGAACGCTTTTCGTGTCTCCGCCGGTTCCTGGCGATACCCGTCGGCGACACCGCTCCTCCGATCAAAATCGAGCGTGACAAACAGCTGTTCGCCGTGGCGGCCGCTCTGCTACACGCGTTCCGACACACGCCTCCGCACATACACACGGCCATTGGCGACGCGATAGCGCAGCACTTGGATCACCGAGATATGACCGCGCTCACGCCAGCCGCCAAGGGTGCAAACGACGCCGCCGCCGCCTCCGCGTCGTCGTCGTCGGCCAGGTTGCCCGAGTGGGCGGTGTGTACGATCGCGATGGATCGAGTGAGAACGGGGCTCCTCAGCATGATCCACGTAGAGATCGAAGCGCTGAAGCGCCTGTGCTTCGCGTGTCGCCGCGGATCCCTCGAAGGACGCGGGCACGCGTGTGAACACACGCCGGCTGACGTCGATTTTTACGAGCATCACTTGGACCACTTTACGATGATACTGTTGTCTCCCTCGCGCCTGTCGCGTCTCCGCGAATTCCTGGCGACGGCCCCCGTCGTGTGCGCCATCGACGACGAGACGCTGTTCGCCGTGGCGGTCGCCCTGTTGCACGAGTTCACACACTCGCCGACGCTCGTGCGCGACTTGGCCGCCGCAGCGCAGGCCACGCTGGCTCCAGACGCTCTCCCGCCTTCGAGCCCGTCTGCGAGCCCGTACACGGCCGAAGAGATCGCGATGGCCGAAGAGATCGTCCTACGAGAGGAGGCGAAGCGTCGAGGCGCGAAAATATTGCGACTATATGAGATGCGCCTTCGGTAGCAGAGGCATGAAGATACCCCGCAACGGGCTCTGCGCGGAGGCTTGTAACGTCCGTCAGGCCACGCGTCTTCGGTGCGGTTATTTCGCCATATCACCTGAGGAGAACCCCACGCGCTTCTTTCAACCCCGTCTAGCTCGCCCGTCACGCGACGCGCACAAAAACTATAAGCGTGACGAGCGAGCCGAATGACTTCCTATTAATGTTAGCAGCAGCGAAGTGGCAGGCACGCTTCGCGTGCACGTGTGCGATAAAACGGTCAGATACACGCTACTCTCTTTAGGGGAGGAACACATGTCACTCTCTGTAGCGAATCTCCTCGCCACGGCAATAGTCTCCCGTGTAACCCGGCGTGCGTTTGAACGCTTCTGATCGTACCACAAAAAAAAAGCAAAGCTAGCGATAGCCACACCCCGCTCACCACCACGCCGCAGCAGCGTATAACACCCACCGAGTCCGCTGTCGCCAGCACTGACCAAACGCCAGAAAGCTCGATCGTATCAGCGCCGCCGCCATGGCCGCTCTCCGCACGTCGCCGGACATCGAGGAGGAGCCCTCCGTCGAAGCGCAAAGGATCCTGTATCAACAGCACTACAACTGGCGGACGCGGGTGCCCCCGTACGAGCCCCCTCCGCCCGGCTGGGCGCTATCGGATTTTTCTGTGCGGCGAGTACGATCGGGATTTTTGTACTTGTTAAACGAGGCCATCCAAGATGTGGCCGACGCGAAGCGCTCGGCCGTACGTCAGGGGCGACTCTCGAGCGCACACGCGCCCAAATCCCCGGCGTTCTACCGCCAGTACTTTCGTGACATCTTGGCCAACGCGTTGACGCGTGAACGTTTTTCGTGTCTCCGCCGGTTCTTGGCGATACCCGTCGACATGCCGTGGCACGAGGTCGTCACCCCGATCAGAATCGAGACCGACCAGCTGTTCGCCGTGGTCGTAGCGCTGCTGCACGAGTTCCGCCACTCGCCTCGGCACATACACACGGCCATCAGTGACGCAATGGAGCGCTTGGATTCCCTAGATAAAGCCGCGCTGACGCCAGAACACAAGGACGCGAGTTGGCACTACGCCGCTGAGGATGACGATTCCGCCCCGGCGGTGTCGTCGTGGGCCGAGTTGCCCGCGTGGACGCTGTCTACGGCCACGATGGATCGAGTGAGAACGGGGCTCCTCAGCATGATCCACGTAGAGATCGAAGCGCTGAAGCGCCTGTGCTTCGCGTGTCGCCGCGGATCCCTCGAAGGACGCGTGCACGCGTGCATACGCACACCCGCTCACGGCGAGTTTTATGAGCGTCACTTGGCCTACTTTACGATGATACTGTTGTCACCCTCCCGCCTGTCGCGTCTCCGCCGGTTCCTGGCGATGTGCACCGACGTGTGCGCCATCGCCGACGAGACGCTGTTCGCCGTGGCGGTCGCCCTGTTGCACGAGTTCACACACTCGCCGACGCTCGTGCGCGACTTGGCCGCCGCAGCGCAGAATAGCTTGACTGACGCCGAGCTAATCGCGCTGACTCCAGAGCACGGCCCGTTCGCGAGCCCGTACACGGCCGAAGAGATTGCGACGGTCGAAGCTAAGTGCAGGGAGGAAGCGAGACGTCAGGACGAGAGAAGGAGACGTCAAAGGGAGGAACGCATTCGGCGTATGGAGGCAGAAACGCAGCGACTGAGACCGCGGGATGAAGATTAACGTTCGTTCGTTGCTACCGGAAGTGTGGCGAAAGATCACCGTTTTTTTTTTCTGTTGCTATGTCTTTTGTGACTTTTATTCGTCTCCCCATGTTTGGGTCCTGTCGCGTGGCTTTGTTGGTACACGTGTTGATATTGCTGTTGCTGCCTACCTCAATAAACCTACTACTATGTACATGCAGATTGTGTGTGTTGACTCGATTTCTGTCTTTCTTTTGTTTGTTTGTTTATTTGTTGCTTTTGTTGTTGCCATTTTATCTGAGTGAGGAAGGTGTCACTCACACACACACACACACACACACACACACACACACACACACACACACACACACACACACACACACACACACACACACACACACACACACACACACACACACACACACACACACACACACCGCGGCTACAAAAGTCAGCTCTGGTGCTCACGGTGCCCATAGACCCAATTCTCGTCGACGGACGCCAGGAGGATGGATCCCCTGTCCCAGTGGCGGCCGCCCCCGGACGCGCTCGAGCTGCCCGTTTGGGCGCGATCGCGAGACGCCGTGGATCGAGTTAGAGCGGAACTTCTTCGCCTGGTCGCCGCGGCGAGCCGAGAATTCGCACACGCGATTTGTTCCGCGTGTCGAGACGGAGTACCCACGACTACGCTAGGGACGCACGCGTGTGCGTACGCGCCCGACGATAGCCGCTTCTACGACTTTTACTTCTACGAGGTTACGAGCGTAGTGTTGACGCGCGATAGCGTGTCGCAACTCCAACGATCCCTGACGACGCGAAAGGAATCGCCTTTTATCGACGCGGACGCGATGTTCACAGTGGCCGTCGCGCTGCTACACGAATTCCGACACTCGACGACGTCCGCGCGCGACGCCGTCACCGATGAACTGAAACGTCTGACTATCGCCGCCGAACAGCCCGCGCTGACCCCGGAGCTCGCCGCTCATCGGCCGTGTTCCGCAGAGGAGGACGTCTCGAAGTGCACGGACGAGCGGCGATCGCTACGATACCACGACGAGTCCGCGTTGGAGCGGCGGTGGCGGCGTCGACGGGCTATGAGCGCGCTGGAGCAGCCGAATTTGGGCCACCGATCACAATCGACGCGACGGTTCAGCGAGAACGCTGACTGTAGGACCGCGGACCCCCAGTTGTATTTTTTTTAAGAACCGACCCCGACAACCCCCAACTGCACTCAGTCACCACGCCCTTTCCTCCCGCAGTATAAACAAAAAGCTCTCACTCAGCGAGGCGCTGTCACTTCACAATCACCACGGCTAGAGAGCCAGACGGACGGAGCGCACGATGTTCACGGACTCTTATTACTCATACAGGGACCCGTCGCCGTCTCGATGGTGGAGACATTGTCTCCCGTACGAGCTGCCCGCGTGGACTCTTTCTACGGACACGATGGATCGAGTGCGGACGGGAGTTCTTTACCTCGTCGACTCGGCGAGTCGAGAAGTGGCGCAGGAGAATTGTCCCGCGTGTCGACTGGGTGAATTTGACGAACGTTGGCGAGAACACCACGCGTGCGTGTACGAACCTGACCACGTCAAATTCTACAGATTCTATTTCCCTCTCGTCGTACACAAAATGATAACGCGCGAATACATTTCGTGTCTCCAACGGTTCCTGCTGCTACACGGCGACTCGCATCTGATAGACACTGACACGCTGATCTCCGTGACCGTCGCGTTGCTACATAGCTTCAGACACATGGCTAACATACGCGTCGCCATCGCTAACGCGCGAGACCGATGGAATCGCGCTGAGCTAGCCACGCTGACTCCATCGCGAACTCCGTCACGCTACAGGCGCGGTATTCTTGCGTATTCGCCACGAAGAACCGTACATTTCAACGCGCGCAACCGCCGCCACGCGCGAGCGACCACCGACTGTCGATACGAGCACCGGCGGCGGCGAGAACACACTAGACGGAGACTCGAGCGTCGTACGGCACCGCTGGATAAGAGCACCGCGAAAAAGTTGCCGGACGAGAGCACCGCGAAAGAGTCGACGGAAAAGAAGGCGCCGGACGAGAGCACCGCGAAAGAGTCGACGGAAAAGAAGGCGCCGGACGAGAGCACCGCGAAAGAGTCGACGGAAAAGAAGGCGCCGGACGAGAGCACCGCGAAGCCTCCTGAGTTGCAATGTCAAGAGGCGTAAGTCACCTAACCCACTCAGCGGACAGCCCGTTTGACTTTGTTGTCACCAAATGTATCATTATTGTTGTGTCCTCAATAAACTCACAATGCACAAACTATAAAACAACTGGTGTCTCATGTCTTTATCTGTTTTTGTTCACTTGCTCTTGTTAATTATTATTATTATTATTATTATTATTATTATTATTATTATTATTATTGGAGCAGCTACAATGTGAGCCGGTATTAACGCACAAACGCGCGGTGAACCAAGGAATAAACGAGACCCAAAAACAAATGCACCATGGCTCGATGTCTAGCGCTGGCCGAGACGAAAGCACGCTGGGCTGACGCTGTAGACGAAGACGAAGAGAAGGAGGAAGACGAAGATGACGACGAGGAAAATGATGACGACGAGGAAAATGATGATGATGATGATAATGACGAAGAGGAGGAAGAGTACGATAGCGCCGAAGTCGAAGACGACCAAGCGGCAGATTCGCGCGAGTCCGACTCCCAGAGCGGTCCCACGGAGCACGCTCGTTCCCACGTGCGAGACATGCTTTCGAGTTTCATGTTGTATTTTCCGCGCGACCTGGAGGAGTCGGTGATCACGATGACCAATCTGGAGGCGTCCAGACGCCAACCGCCCATCGCAGGATGGCGCGAGATGGGCTCCGCCGAGTTCCGCGCCTACCTCGGTCTGCTGCTCCTGTCCGGGGTGTACAGGTCGCGGGGCGAGGCCTGCGAGAGCCTGTGGGACGCGGAGAACGGTCGATCGGTATTCAGAGCCACTATGTCGCTGAAGACCTTCAGGGCGTACAGTAGCGCGTTGCGCTTCGACGACCGCGAAACTAGACGAGAGCCGTCGACTTCGCCTCGTGACAAGCTGGCTCCCATCAGACGCGTCTGGGACATGTGGCGCCTACGCTTGCCGTTGCTGTACCTACCGGGACGCGACATCACCGTGGACGAACGATTGGTCCCGTTTAGAGGTTGGTTTGTTTGCTTTTGTGTGTGTTCATTCACTCGACCAGCAGTGTCCCCCCACGCGATAGTCCTCCCTTACTTTGTCTGTTGCTCTTTGTCTGCACGCTCCTTTCTCCAGGGAGATGTCCCTTTAGGCAATACATGCCCAGCAAACCGGCCAAGTACGGGATCAAGATATGGGTGGCGTGCGACGCGAGGTCCAGCTACGCGTGGAACATGCAAGTCTACACGGGTAAGCCGAGCAAGCTGGCTCGACCCGAGCAGGACCTGGCCTCGCGCGTGGTAATGGATCTCACGAGGGGACTACCTCCCGCACGCAACGTCACCTGCGACAACTTCTTCACCTCGCAGGCTCTCGGCGCCCTACTGTGGAACGACGGCCATCACACGCTGCTAGGCACCATCAGAAAAAACAGACGCGAGATCCCAGATGAGTTGCGTTGCGTCAAGGGTCGCTCCGTGGGATCCGTGGTCGCGAGTTGCACGCGGCGGACCGCCACAGCAGCCGCCGCCGGAGCACCCGATACTAAGCTGATTTCCTACGTGCCGAAGAAAAATAAAAACGTGCTGCTCCTGACCACTTGCCCCGAACACACGCGCGCGAGCTCACCGCCTCCGAGCGCTCAGCAGCAGCAGCAGCAGCAGCAGCAGCAGCAGCAGCAGCAGCAGCAGCAGCAGCAGCAGCAGCAGCAGCAGCAGCAGCAGCAGCAGCAGCAGCAGCAGCAGCAGCGAGAGGACCGCGTCGCGGGGAAACCCGCGATGGTGCTGCACTACAACCGCACCAAGGGCGGCGTGGATAACCTGGACAAGGTGGTGGCCACCTACAGCTGCAGGCGAAAGACCTGCAGGTGGCCCGTGGCTCTCTTTCACAACATGGTGGACGTGGCCGGGTACAACGCCTTCGTGTTGTGGAGGGAGCTGCGACCCGAATGGCTGAAGGGCAAGCGAAACAGAAGACGCTTGTTTCTCGAGAGCGTAGGACACGCCTTGGTCGCGCCGCTAAAAGAAGCCAGGTCGCGGTCTTCGTCCTCCTCCTCCGCCGCCGCCGCTCGAACCTTCGTCCCGGAGAGCCAGGATCGCGGCGGCGGAGGACAGGAGGCGCCCAGGAGGAGGTGTAGTCTCTGCCCCAGACTCAAGGACGTGAAAACCAAGATCGTGTGTCACGGCTGCGGGCGCTACGTGTGCTGCAGATGCGCGCTCACCTACTGTCCCGGCTGCGCGGGGATCACCAGCCCCCCGCGCGCGTGATATGCTTCGCGCATGCGCAACAGACAACCAACAATCCACATAAACAATGCCGCCTTTGACACTATGCTGATGGGGGTATTCTCCGACCCCACTCTGACACTAACTATTCTGATGTGGGTATTCTTCGACCCCACTCTGACACTAACTATTCTGATGGGGGGTATTCTCCGACCCCACTCTGACACTAACTATGCTGATGGGGGTATTCTCCGACCCCACCGGCGTCTCTGACAACGTCGGAACCCCAAAAGAGTACACAAGGGCTAACTATTCTGATGGGGGTATTCTCCGACCCCACTCTGACACTAACTATTCTGATGGGGGTATTCTCCGACCCCACTCTGACACTAACTATTCTGATGGGGGTATTCTCCGACCCCACTCTGACACTAACTATGCTGATGGGGGTATTCTCCGACCCCACCGGCGTCTCTGACAACGTCGGAACCCCAAAAGAGTACACAAGGGCTAACTATTCTGATGGGGGTATTCTCCGACCCCACTCTGACACTAACTATTCTGATGGGGGTATTCTCCGACCCCACTCTGACACTAACTATTCTGATGGGGGTATTCTCCGACCCCACCGGCGTCTCTGACAACGTCGGAACCCCAAAAGAGTACACAAGGGTTATCTATGCTGATGGGGGTATTCTCCGACCCCACCGGCGTCTCTGACAACGTCGGAACCCCAAAAGAGTACACAAGGGCTAACTATTCTGATGGGGGTATTCTCCGACCCCACTCTGACACTAACTATTCTGATGGGGGTATTCTCCGACCCCACTCTGACACTAACTATTCTGATGGGGGTATTCTCCGACCCCACCGGCGTCTCTGACAACGTCGGAACCCCAAAAGAGTACACAAGGGTTATAAACCACTGAATTCTAAATAAAAAAAGAATTTCTAAATAAAATACACTGAATTCTAAATAAAACACTGAATTCTAAATAAAAAAAAACACTAAATTCTAAATAAAAAACACTGAATTCTAAATAAAAAAGCACTGAATTCTAAATAAAAAGCACTGAAGTCTAAATAAAAAACACCAAATTCTAAATAAAAAAATCTACTGAATTCTAATCAGAAAAACACTGAATTCTAAAAAAAAATATCCAAGTTCTCAATGCAAAGCACTGAATTCTAAATAATAACCACTGAATTCTAAATAATAACCACTGAATTCTAAATTAAAAACAATGTATTCTAAATAAAAATCACTGAATTCTAAATAAAAAAAACACTGAATTCTAAATGAAAAACACTGTATTCTAAATAAATAAACACTGAATTCTAAATAAAAATGCACTGAATTCTAAATAAAAAGCACTGATTTCTAAATAAAAAACACTGAATTCTAAAAAAGCACCAACATCTAATAAAAACACAATTCTAAAAAAGGCACAATTTTCTGAATAAAAAGCACTAACTTCTAAATAAAAAACACTGAATTCTAAATTAAAAACAATGTATTCTAAATAAAAAAACACTGATTTCTAAATAATTACACTGAATTCTAAATAAAAAAAACACTGAATTCTAAATGAAAAACACTGTATTCTAAATAAATAAACACTGAATTCTAAATAAAAAAGCACTGAATTCTAAATAAAAAGCACTGAATTCTAAATAAAAAACACTGAATTGTAAAAAAGCACCAACATCTAATAAAAACACAATTATAAAAAAAGCACAATTTTCTGAATAAAAAGCACTGACTTCTAAATAAAAAACACTGAATTCTAAATAAAAAACACTAGATTCTAAATAAAAAAACACAATTCTAATTAAAAAACCACTGAATTCTAAGAAAAATACACTGGATTCTTAATCTTAAAAAGCACTGAATTCAAAATAAAAAAACACTGAATTCTAAATAAAAAAAACACTGAATTCTAAATAAAAACACTAAATTCTAAATAAAAAAAGACAATTCTAAGAAAAAACAACTGAATTCTAAGGAAAATAGACTGGATTCTAAATTTAAAATAGCACTGAATTCTAAATAAAAAACCACTGAATTCTAAATATAAAAAACTATTTCTAAATAAAATACACTGAATTCTAAATAAAAACACTGAATTTTAAATAAAAAAGCACTGATTTATAAATAAAAATCACTGAATTCTAAATAAAAAACACTGAATTCTAAAAAAGCACCAACATCTAATAAAAACACAATGATAAAAAAAGGACAATTTTCTGAATAAAAAGCACTGACTTCTAAATAAAAAACACTGAATTCTAAATAAAAAACACTAAATTCTAAATAAAAAAACACAATTCTAATAAAAAAAAAACTGAATTCTAAGAAAAATACACTGGATTCTTAATTTAAAAGAGCACTGAATTCTAAATAAAAAAACACTGAATTCTAAATAAAAAACACTGAATTCTAAATAAAAAAAACACTAAATTCTAAATAAAAAAACACTGAATTCTAAATAAAAAACACTGAATTCTAAATTAAAAAAACTACTGAATTCTAATTAGAAAAACACTGAATTCTAAAAAAATCGAAATTCTCAATAGAAAACACTGAATTCTAAATAAAAACACTGAATTCTAAATTAAATACACAGTATGCTACACAAAAAACACTGAATTCTAAATAAAAAAAACAATTTCTAAATAAAATACACTGAATTCTAAATAAAACACTGAATTCTAAATAAAAAAACACTAAATTCTAAATAAAAAACACTGAATTCTAAATAAAAAAGCACTGAATTCTAAATAAAAAGCACTGAAGTCTAAATAAAAAACACCAAATTCTAAATAAAAAAATCTACTGAATTCTAATCAGAAAAACACTGAATTCTAAAAAAAATATCCAAGTTCTCAATGCAAAGCACTGAATTCTAAATAATAACCACTGAATTCTAAATTAAAAACACTGTATTCTAAATAAAAATCACTGAATTCTAAACAAGCACCAACATCTAATAAAAACACAATTCTAAAAAAGGCACAATTTTCTGAATAAAAAGCACTAACTTCTAAATAAAAAACACTGAATTCTAAATTAAAAACAATGTATTCTAAATAAAAAACCACTCATTTCTAAATAATTACACTGAATTCTAAATAAAAAACCACTGAATTCTAAATGAAAAACACTGTATTCTAAATAAATAAACACTGAATTCTAAATAAAAAAGCACTGAATTCTAAATAAAAAGCACTGAATTCTAAATAAAAAACACAGAATTCTAAAAAAGCACCAACATCTAATAAAAACACAATTATAAAAAAAGCACAATTTTCTGAATAAAAAGCACTGACTTCTAAATAAAAAACACTGAATTCTAAATAAAAAACACTAGATTCTAAATAAAAAAACACAATTCTAATAAAAAAAACCACTGAATTCTAAGAAAAATACACTGGATTCTTAATTTTAAAAAGCACTGAATTCAAAATAAAAAAACACTGAATTCTAAATAAAAAAAACACTGAATTCTAAATAAAAACAATAAATTCTAAATAAAAAAACACAATTCTAAGAAAAAACCACTGAATTCTAAGGAAAATACACTGGATTCTAAATTTAAAATAGCACTGAATTCTAAATAAAAAACCACTGAATTCTAAATATAAAAAACAATTTCTAAATAAAATACACTGAATTCTAAATAAAACACTGAATTCTAAATAAAAAAAGCACTGATTTCTAAATAAAAATCACTGAATTCTAAATAAAAAACACTGAATTCTAAAAAAGCACCAACATCTAATAAAAACACAATTATAAAAAAAGCACAATTTTCTGAATAAAAAGCACTGACTTCTAAATAAAAAACACTGAATTCTAAATAAAAAACACTAGATTCTAAATAAAAAAACACAATTCTAATAAAAAAAACACTGAATTCTAAGAAAAATACACTGGATTCTTAATTTTAAAAAGCACTGAATTCAAAATAAAAAAACACTGAATTCTAAATAAAAAAACACTGAATTCTAAATAAAAAAACACTAAATTCTAAATAAAAAACACAATTCTAAGAAAAAACCACTGAATTCTGAAGAAAATACACTGGATTCTAAATTTAAAATAGCACTGAATTCTAAATAAAAAACCACTGAATTCTAAATAAAAAAACAATTTCTAAATAAAATACACTGAATTCTAAATAAAAACACTGAATTCTAAATAAAAAACACACTAAATTCTAAATAAAAAAACACTGAATTCTAAATGAAAAAGCACTGAATTCTAAATAAAAAGCACTGAAGTCTAAATAAAAAACACCAAATTCTAAATAAAAAAACTACTGAATTCTAATCAGAAAAACACTGAATTCTAAAAAAAAAATCCAAGTTCTCAATGCAAAGCACTGAATTCTAAATAATAACCACTGAATTCTAAATTAAAAACAATGTATTCTAAATAAAAACCACTGAATTCTAAATAAAAAACACTGAATTCTAAATAAAAAACACTGAATTCTAAAAAAGCACCAACATCTAATAAAAACACAATTCTAAAAAAGGCACAATTTTCTGAATAAAAAGCACTGACTTCTAAATAAAAAACACTGAATTCTAAAAAAAACAATGTATTCTAAATAAAAAACCACTGATTTCTAAATAATTACACTGAATTCTAAATAAAAAAACACTGAATTCTAAATGAAAAACACTGTATTCTAAATAAATAAACACTGAATTCTAAATAAAAAAGCACTGAATTCTAAATAAAAAACACTGAATTCTAAATAAAAAAAACTGAATTCTAAAAAAGCACCAACATCTAATAAAAACACAATTATAAAAAAGCACAATTTTCTGAATAAAAAGCACTGACTTCTAAATAAAAAACACTGAATTCTAAATAAAAAACACTAAATTCTAAATAAAAAAAAACACAATTCTAATTAAAAAAACCACAGAATTCTAAGAAAAATACACTGGATTCTTAATTTAAAAAAGCACTGAATTCTAAATAAAAAAACACTGAATTCTAAATAAAAACACTGAATTCTAAATAAAAA